TATTACTAATGCTGCCCTTTAACTAAGGGAATAATATACATTTTTTGTCAAAATCGTTTCAGAAGTTATAAATATTAGGACCAAGCTGTTTAATTGTTTATTATGGTCAATCGGTTCATATAATTTAAGTTAAGGTTCATACGGTATGTATAAAAAAGATACAACAAAAGATTTGTTTTAAAATTTAGTACTGATAACAATTATATTACTACAAAACAAATCAATTATTTTTTAAAATGATGAAACCAAAAGTTAAAAGGTTTTTAGAGAATATTTAATCCTTCCTCGTAATTATAGTAATTTTCTTCGCACTTTTTGTTCTGCAAAATTCTTAATAACATCTGATAAATTTATACTGCCACAAACCTTGTGTTCTATTGAAATCATAGATAATCTTTCTGTTACTGGTAAAGTTAAAAGGATCCTGTGCGCATGCTGATATTTGGACCAAATCTTAAATCTGTTTCAAATTTTAAAACATCTTGAGGATATAAATTACAATTTAAAAACATACAAAGGACTGACAACACCTCAAAAAGTTCTAATGCATTTATATTGCTGGAGTTCTCATGAGTTAAAATAGCCTCGAGATTCTTACAATGTTCTAACAATTCATCTTTTCGGAGTTCCCTTAAGGCATATATGTTATACAAAAAAGCAAAATGTTTTCTGTGCTCAGAAATCTGGGAAAATCTTAATTCTAAAGAGTTTATGGCTGTATCCACTTTTTACTTAATTGATAAAAATAAAACTACTAAATAGGAAAATAGGTACCAATTATGAGAAACTGCCAACACAAGCTCTAAACATAAGCTATTGTCTATATAGAAGGGTAATCCCGTACGACCCAAATCTAATGATCTGACTTAAATTTTGTTAAGAGTATCGATACCTAAAAAATATGGAACAAAAGGTTGAAAGATAGGAATAAGTAAATTTTGCCGCTCTGCGCAAATGTTTCTTAGATCGGGCCCTGGGCCTATATACGAGTATATCAGGAGTAGAAAGATCCATGCGTGGACTTGTCTGATCGGCTCAAGGTAAGACTTGTTAAAATTTTTCGACTTATGGTTAGGTATAAGAGTATTCTATCATTTTACATTTTTGTTCCGATGAAAATTACGCCAAAGATCATTTATTTCCACAATATTTTTTGTCTTTAGTTGAAAAGTCACATTGATCTTGCTGATCTGGTTGGCACTATCGCAGATCTTCCGAATAGCAATGACACCAACCTTAACTTAATGAGCCTAGTGAGATCATATACCTGTGCGAAATGAAAGAGCGCAAGCTCTTATCTTGTGAGCTGTATAAAATGAAGATAATTATGTTCTGGTTTCATGGGTTTACTATAACATTTACTGGAATAAAAACCTCCTGACTGAAAGTTCAGTACTCTCCGTAATTTTATTTGCACATAAATGTACATTTTACACATATTCTTGCTTTCAAATTTAATCCCCCCGGTATTTATTCCGATCGCTTTGTTAGTAGTCATTAACACTCAGTTCAAAAAAAAAATGCAAACACATGTTTTGCGTAAACTCCTATAAGCCACATACCCAGTCAGCGAACACATCCCTACATATGCGTGTACCATTATACCACACACCACATAAATGGAACGCAAAAAATGGAGTACTGAAAGGGGAAAACATGCCACTAACAACCAGCAAAACATCGACAACGCCAATACATGGTTACGTAATGGCAGCGGTAAGCAGAAATTGTGTGCTAAGTAAGAGAGCAGATAATAGCAGGGGAGACATGTCAGCTATGCAGAGGCTGGAGTAGCGGAGTCAATATATTGAAGAGTAAGTTGAAAACCATTGCATAACTCTAGGGATTACAAGCAAACTCAAACTGTTTGTTAATGTGTAGCAGATACGACAACACAAATACGTAAACATACTACTATATAACAACAATAAAAACAAACTTGAAACTGCTAAAGCGTGGCAGGAGTGAGCACACAACAAGCGCACTATGACGACGGCTCGGTTGACAGACTCATTGAGTTTACCTTTAAGGTGGTCATGGTAAGAGTGCATAGCATACGCTTAGGCGCATAAGCAGTGTTATGCCTGTAAGGTACTTGTGCGCGGCGGGGTGTGCGTTAGTTAGTTTGCGTAACGATTTGCAGCGCATAGGTTAGAGTTGGAAGAGAGAGTTAGAAGTGATAGTGGAGCAGTTGAGCGGAAGTACGGGAGCACAACTGATTGGGTTGCGAAACGTGCTACCTAGGCTGCGAAGTGTATGGGGTGTGAGACTTTGCTGCACGAAGTACATGTCGGTATGCAATTTGTCTTGTTGGTGGTTTTAGTTGGCTTACCTAACGCTTTGATTACTTTAGTATGACGCGCGAGTACATCAAATAGGTAAGGGTTGGGTATGCCGCCACTAACTTACAAGTAGTTTTCGTTCAATACGCCTCGGTTTACGTATAAGTCTATGGCGGCTGGGCTGGACGTGCGGAAATATTATGTTTGTAGATATGTGCATCACCGTTTGTATTTGTCTAGGCGCCTATAGTCATACCCATACAAGCACATATTTAAAGCTACCTGCATATAATATCTACTTTTGCCATGATTGCGGATCCATGTCTCGCCGGTAATGCACTTAATCGAATAATTTTCAAGTTCGACAAACATTTTCAATGTCGATTATATGCAAAGAACGCTTGTAGAGTAGAATGCTGTGGATAAGCAAGAGCTGAAGAAAATCGAGAAGACACATGACTCTGGGCGATGTGTAGAGAAGGACGCCTGTAAATCATTGAGTGTGTTCGGCAGACTAACAAAAGCGGTTTGTTATTAAGATTGTGAGTACAGGGCGGTATCGCTGAACGGCAAAATGGTAGTTTGTCGGCAGAAATGACTAGCAACTCCAAGGGAGCTCCTATAATACATACCATTTAAGTTTAATATTTGAGTATTCATTATACGCTCGAAAAACTTTTGCCAAAGCAAAACTGCGCGCCAAACGCATTTGAATGAAGTTCGTTAGCGGTATGTGAGAGTGAGAGAGAAAGGAACTTCGACCGGGGGTTATAAGAAAAATGTGAAAAAACGTTGTGAGACAGTAAGTAATGGATTAAATAAGTCCAAATAAGGATGAGGAAAAGTAGAGAGTTTTAGCGCACAGTTGACAAATGGCGGACATTGTTTTAAAGACGTCTTAGCGGCTGCATTGTATAGATTACGTTTTTAACAGGGTTGGAACTCATGCATTTACTATCGCTGGTTTTTGAACACGGATCAAAATAAAACTATTGAAAGGTATGGAGATTGTTACGAGTCTCGATGGCTGTGCTAACATAGAAGCGTTAGAGTATACTTAGCCTTTACTAAGGTTTAGTGCTGAGTCCATCCAATGTGTGCTAAGTCTAACTCTGACTAAACTTGACCATTACATTTATACTGAAAATTATTTCATTGCTTAGTTAGAGACAATTTAAGAACTTCCTTTACTTGGGTTGAAACACCATGATAGAAGTTGCACTTGAGTATTTTGGTAGTGCCAAAAGCCACCTGCTTGTGAAACGAATAAAAACCATTTTAGTTATCGACCAATATTGGTTTGTTCATTCTCGACCAGTTTAAATGGCAACCCTGGTCTGACCGAGTGGAGCTACAAAAGTGTCATCCGTTCCGTACTAATATATGGTGCGGTGGTGTGGTGTATGAAACTATCGAAAAAGTGCCTCATTAAACCTCTGGAACAGGTGCACGCCCGCTTTGTTTTTACAGGCGCAATCAAAACTACATCAAAAAAGGCACGCAGGTTATTCTCAATATCAAGCCGGGTAATGATTTTAGTCCACTGGAACCAGACTCGGCTTCACTGTGGACATAGTATCATATTCAACTTTGTTAAGAAACTTGGACTAAACTAGCAATACGACCGAGACAAAGAGATCCATGAGGAATTAAATGCAACGTTTTGTTTTCCCAGTAGAGAAGAATGAACTAATGGTGTATGGTCGACAGTCCCAATGGCGAAATCTACCCTTTTCGATCCGTCGGATCAAATCGTGAAATAGACAGCAGGCTTCTTCTGTAGTAATCCATACGCAAGAGGTAAATTAAATGTCTACAATTCAGTCTTCCAAGCCTCAATACAAAGTCTGAATGCGTTAGGTTATGCAAATAGGCAATAACTATACACTCAGTAGGTAACTCGGTTAATATCATCTGGGTACCCAGTCATTTAGAAGGTCATAGAAGGCAGACGAGTTGGCTCGCTTGGGGGAAGATGAGAACACAATTCCTCTATGGCGGCACCAGACCATTTAGCTTCTCAAGGTTTTTTGAAACAGTGGACCCTAGAGGAACACCTCAGGTCTTGGAATATCAGCAACACAGAGCATACCACAAAATTACTTTGGGGTGGTGTTGATGGTGGACATATCAAAAAGCTTCTTTCTTGCAAAAGGAAACTCGGCGGAATTTTTGCCAATGCCGATCTTTTAGTCGGATGAGACGGGATATATTCCACGGCTCTCTATGCTCTAGCTTAAGAGACAATGTGCAGCTGGGGTGGAAAAGTGACTTAATTTGTTTACCATCCGGGAGCTCAATTGGCCTAATGATGACCTTAGTGGCGGCCACCTGTAGTCTATCTCTTCATAGAAAAAATGTTGGGACTGAAAAGTTGCTCAGTAAAATAAATGCTCTTAATTGAAGCTCTCGGTGATACGGTACTGTCGTTGAACTGATTGCGAAAATTTGAATGTTAAAAATATTTAGTAAATAAATGTACTCTTACTCTGACTTCGATAATTCTGATAACCAAATAAAGCTCAAAATATATTGTGTGGAAGTTTTAAAAAAATCGTTCTTATTTTCAAAGCGGAACAACATGGAGCTAGTCGACGATCAAGTCCCAGTTTAAATTTACAGAATAGTTTCAGTACATAAATGAAGTTGTATCAAATATACAATTTATTGTAAAAATTTCATAAAACACCATATTAACAGTGTTCTAGTTAAACTCACCCCATCACCATAGCTTAGGCTTTGCTCAATAGATTCACCGTTGCCATGTTGCTCAGCTTCCGCCACAATTGCCTTCGCATGCTCAGCACCAGCGCCACTATTATACATTCTCGGATGATGTATAACTTGTTCTACTAATAACTTAGTTTTCTGCCCAGCCTCACCAACTGCGCCAGCTTCAGCGCCTTTAATGCCCTGATAATTCGGCGAGAGCCCATACTCTACAAATGAGTTCGGCAGTGGGGCTTTTGGTTCAACCTTAATGGCTACATATTGCTTCGGTGCGGGGATGGCAATATTCTGCACTGGACCATGGCCGTTACCTTCAGCACCACCACCAGCACTAGAGACTGTTTTTTGCTCGGCCGCAGGGCCGTGTTCCACAATTGGTATATATTCTTTGGACTTGGCCATACCGATCAGACGTCCATGAATGCCACCAGCGAAAGTCTGAACTTGTTGTTGTTTCAGTTCGCCTATTTGTGGATGGTCGACTGGAAAAACTATGGGTGCGGTATTGGTATGTACGCCGGGACCACTTGAAATGTACAGCTTTTTACGCTGCAGCTTTAGTTTGTTCTGCATCTCTTTGGCCAAAAGGTAGGTTAGACCATGTATCTGATCTTCGGTCGACTTGCCGACTAATGTGGAGAGTTGTTTGAATTCGGGTAGCTCTTTGAAATTCTGTTTTATTTCATCTGCAGGACCATGATATTCGATTTTTACCAGCGGTACTTCGGCTTCTTTCTGTGGCTGGGCTGCGACTTGGTCTACTTCATATTTATAGTGTTCGACGGATTGAGGTACAGTTTCGGCATGACCGACATCTTCTTGACCACCACCAGCGTGACCACCTGCATATACCGCAACAGTTTGTTGCTCACCCCCTCCATTTCCACTATGAATGCCATCATAGCTAACATGACCATCACCATATCCCCCTGTTTCGCCAACAGCAGCTTCTGTCAGTTTATTCTCGTTGAGCAGAGGATCTGGCTTCGAGGGTCGAAAGTGTACAGCCTTAATAGCGACCGCAGCAGGTACGTCTTCCTGCAATGAATGCGACACATCGGCTGAGTAAGTGTGGTGTACTGCCACTGTTGCCGCTTGAAGTCCTTGGTGACCAGCAAAAGCACTTTCCTGCACTATAATTGGATGCGCGGCACCCCCGCTCTCATGACCGCCACCTTCGCCGCCTTCTTCCCCTGCCATAGCTTTAGCTCCGTAGTTTTCAGCGACGTGTGCGATTCCCACGGCATGTTGAGCTTGAGCTGCGTGGGCGGCATGAGCCGCTTGAGCAGCTTGAGCTTCGGCTACTGCATGCACATTTTGACCAGCATAAGCTGCCTGTACTGCGTGAGTAGCAGCAGCATGTGCTGCCGCCTGCTGCTCTGCAGCCACCGCTGCATGTGCGTTAACATCATAACCATGATCGACCGGTGCGGCGGCTACAGGTGTATATATGTAACGGATCTTCTCAACAACCGGTACTGGGTGTATTTGTACCTGTAATTGTTCGCCCTTCTGATGTGGCGGTATGTATTTTATATATGATGCCGGCGATAGTTTGCTGCCACCACTACCAATGCTGTAGGTCGGCGGTAAAGCGAGTTTCGCACCATAAAGCGATTTCAATTGACGATAGTCGACCATGTGTGCTGGTATGTATTTCACATAAGCTTTACCACCGCCAGCAGCACCACCACCACCAGCGCCATGATCTTTCATTAAATGTGTTATTATCTTTTGTACCTCCACGGGTAGCGAACTGATTGACTTTTTTGCCTTTACGACGGGCGCTTCCTTATAGACAAAGGTGCGCTTGCTTTCGCCATTGCTCTGATCGTTGTCACCTTCGTCAACGTCCTCCTTAACAGGCAGCTCAACCGGCCTGGTTTTCTTTGTATCCATACGAGCTTCACGCTTATTGATAACAGCATAACTACCCTCGTTAGTGTTTTGTTGGTCCTTTGCTTCTTTGCGACTTTGTCTTATCAAACGGAACTGTTCTAATGTAGCCGCATTTGGCTCACGTGCATCCTCTAGTTCGAAGCGTATCATCTGTGGAGCCGAGCGCTTGACACGTTTTCCCTTACGCTTCATGAAGAGCTTTCCAGTTTTTGGTCGATAGTATTTACCCGGATTGAAGGTTGGCAGCGGCGCGGTCACAATACCTGTTGCGGGTGCATTCCGATGTACACGTATCACTGTTGGAGCTACAGTGCTGACAGCGGCATTGTTACTTAACCTTTGCAGCTCTAGATTACGCATACGTCTTATAAGTGCCTTCGTTTGCTCATCAGGCTCACGTGCTTCGGAAATATCGAATGGTATTAGTTTTACTTGAAAATTGAATGTCTGCCGATTTATTGGTGCATTAGACGCTGCACGTTTCGGACGTTTGTTACGTGTAATTCTTGCACTTGTACCTCGTGAAGAACGCTTCGGTGCTACAGTGGTTACTTTAGCCTTCACTTTCAGAGATTCTTTTACCGAATTTGTCGTATTTTTCTCATCCGCATTGGTTGGACTTGTTGCAGTTGTCAGCTTTTCTTCTCGATTGCGATGTTGTCGTATGAGTTCCTTTACCTCAGGACTGGGTTCAAGAGCATCGCTAATTTCAAATTTTACCAGCTGTGGCTCAGTTGGTAATTTTCGTGCTTGCTGAGCTTTCGTCGCCCGCCGTGAACGTTCGCGTGCAATGAGTTCGTGATGGTCATTGTATGCTTTAATGTAAGTGTCTTCTGTGGGATTATCTATGTAGCGCATGGAGCGTTGATTGCGCGACGCAATGTAACGACGCATGTCCTGTTTTTGAATGCGACAGAGAGACAGAAAACGAGGGAGGATATGAAGGTTAGCAGATAATAGTACTATAAGATTTCAATTTTTAAGTTATATGTGTGTTCTTACATCATAGTTAGCAAAAGCTTCCAAATCGGGTGTTCTTAGTTCCAGAGCGGTAGAGGATGCCAGCTAAAGAAAAAATACGAATAAGAAATGCTTTATGATATGATCGAAAAGTTAATATAAGTTTGAGTGCATGAGTTTTTTCGATTATGGAATGATTCAATTCTTCCAAATCAAATTGAATAGAACTCAACTGATTCCTAAAGCTTTTTAGCGCTAAGGATATAATGGCAATAATATATTCTTGTACATTACTTTTGACAATTTATTATACATACTTTAGTTTAAAAATTTAATAACTTAAGCAATTCAGTGTATAAAACTACTATTCAGCGGCCTCATTTTTTGAATGTTTAGTTCGCATTTGAGCCGAGCACTTATAACATATTTTATTTTAAATTAAGATGCTAACGGGCATTCTCTGTAATTTCAGCAAATATAAATCTGAATTATAAGAATTCGGCAACAAGATATGTATGTTGCTAGTAGATAACATTATAGACCGAAACAATATTGATCCTTAAAATTTGATGATAACATTATTGATAACTTTATTTACTCTTAAGAAGTGCTGAATAGCATTAGTAGCGCTACTGTTGGAATTTTTTTGAGCTGAAAGGCATTACTGAGTATTTAGCTACTCAAAATTCATCAGTAAATTACTTTCTAAGTCAATAATTAATACAATTTAATACCAAACAGCAACATATAGTATTTATATGCGTGCATATATTACAAATGTTACAGGAATAGACATATTTGTAGTACCTTAGAATAATTGAAATTTGGCACTTAGTATTGGATCAGTTGGAACTTATATATTTAAAATGCAATGCTGAATTGCACAATTTTAGAAATAAGTTACTATGAAGTGAAAAAGCTATTTTGATTTGGTAGTAGATAATAACTGATAAATAAAAATAAAAATGTTAGTGATATTTGGTGCTCAAATGCCGTTAGGCAATAATCTATAAAGCACTATAACTAATCTCCAAATTAAAATACAAAACTGTTATTTGGTTAAGGAAATCACTGCGAAGAGAGACACCTGTAGATTGAAAGTTTTTTAGAAGAAGGTCGCCACCTCAATGGTTTAATATACATATCTTCCAAACCGCTGAAGATAAATAAACCAAACTTGTTGAGAATAAGCCCTTTATAATCTCTTCATACGCCATTTAAATGGCAACGTCTAGGTTGCGAAACCCTATTTAGTTTACCGATAATTAAATAAATTAGTTCGTCGACGACGTTTAATTTCACACCCAAGATGATAGCAAACGGCTTCATAGGAAACGGTGCCAAAATGGGCCAATCGGTGTCACACCGATCACCTTTAGCTGAAAAACTAAACTACTTAACCAATTGAAATTTATGTATAACATTATCTCAAAACTCTATTATGACATTGTGAAAGTAGGTCAAATCGGACAACAACCACACCTTTTTCCAATACAACAAGATTTTAAATTCCTATGAATCTCTCACTTTACAAAATATAAATCAAGCACCACGAGTTTATCAGAATAAAATTATACAAAAATAGTGTTTCTATAATAACATGTCATCTCGAAAAATTGTCGAAACCTGAATTCTGAATAGTGGATTTCAGTGGCCATGGCTGACTTTTTATCGCAAATATCGGTAATGAAATTGAGTAAAGTTCATGAAAATAATGTGGTATAGCGCTGAATATGATTGAGGTATTGAAGAATATTGACTCCGATTATTTGGTTTGCTTCTTCTGCATATACGCAATATATAATATTATATATAATTTAGTCTCTTTGATTGAGTTTCATTTGGTCCTCAGCAAATTGCGAGAGTATAAAATGTTCGGTTACACCCGCACTTAGCCCTTCTTTACTTGATTTCCGTTTAGTTTGTGCTTGCGCTTTATACTCACTTCTACAGAGTTCATTAGGCAACATGCAACAAAGATGAACGACAAATATGTAGCAAACATGTGAGCACATACACATATCTAAACAACTGTATATATGTTAATTACTAACACACATATGCAGCAAATTTATGAATATGTAATATGTGTGACTTTTGAAATTGGTGAGAAAAGCCATTTGTACTGCAGTTGTTTTTGTTGTAATAAGAGAATGTACACAAAGTGAAATTAACAAAAGTCTGGAAACACTAACAAAGACATAAGGCATGAAAAAAAAAATTATGTTTGGAAATTTTAAAATAAAAGCGGTTTGGGAAAACCGCCTGGAAATTAAAAAAATACGTATAAAAAGTTTGCAAACAAATATATATTTTGAATAAAAATTTAAACAAAAATTTTGTGTGCGCATGTGCAAAGCGTTGAGATGAATCCAAGGTAGCCGTGAAAATTGCACAAAGTTCATGTACACACACATATTAGCATACACTTGCACTGACACAGAGGTTTGCATACAGCTGGGAGGCAACGACTTCAACATACGACAAATACGTTGCACGAAATAGCCTTTTTGGTGTTTGAAAAAACGAGGCCAAACAAATTTTCTAATTGTTTTATATCTCGCATTCTTTGTGCTCACACACCCACCTTCATGCACAGTGTGCAACAAAAAATGTGAGTAAATATATATGTACGTGTATATGCGCATGCGTAAGCGGTACTTAGGAAAAAAAATAAATACAAGTATATATATAGATATATATTAAAAACAGTGCTCAATGTTCCAAAAGTTCTTAAATACCATCTAAGCAGTTTCTTTGATGATTTTTTGTTGTTGTTTGTAAAATTTTTAAAGAGTGTCTTCACCATGTCTTACAATCATTTAAGTTTATAGAATAGCGCAACACTCCTTTTAAAACTCATCAAACCAGTTGTACTGTACTGATTAGAGGTTGGTATATCCAAAGTATAGGTTAGGTTAGGTTAGGTAAGTATGCTGATTTTTAGTGAGGCCACGAATAATCACCAGAGATGCTTCAACCTCAGTCTGGCGAAAGCTGAACAATGGAGGAGAAAGTATAAAGATGTCCTTTATTTTCCACTCTGAGCCAGAAGGCTTTTGCAACCCCACAAGCTTACTGAACTCGCGCGAGAACCGTAGATTCAGAGTCCGAGCGCACGAAAAAAGCTGAACACCAGCTCGTTTCCATCCTGATGGGATTTGGGTAAGGGAGCCCTTTATTGTAAGCTGATCGGCCTTACATTATCCGACGATTCCGCTTGGTCAGGAACCCAAATTAAATATGGAAGTAGCTTGATACTGCAGCTAGTGAAGTTATGCACTCCTTGACTAGATTTGAGCTCGCTCTCAGCGTGCTCAAGACCTGTGTAGCAGCTATTGGAGTGGATGCATATCTCTCGCACTTCAGAGAAGTAAATCTGATTCAACTTTAATGGCTGTCACTTCTGCTTGAAAGACACTACAGTGGTCTGACACAACAATCAAGGTTGATTGAGAGCATTCCCCTTGAGCTTTGATCGATCCGTGAAAAAGCAACTTCGCTTATCGTATCTTACAGTTTCAAAAATCCTCACAAACATAGAATATTATGACCTAACTTTGATCTATTCTGTCCTTTCATTGCCTCATCCAGGGCCACCACTGTAATAAATTTATAATATTTTCTTGTAGCTAGAGAATCAATCCTTTTTACTGCTCATCCTTTACTTTGCAGCCAGTGCCAGTCTCGCGTCGCTCTTTCTTCTTCTCGAAATTAATCTTTTAATAGAATTGTTGCGTTAGGATCAATAATTTCATTTCGCATTCCATACTAGAAATGAGTTCTCCTTTTGTCTTGATGCTAAATGAAATATGTTGTTTACTCATTAGTGAAAATATTTTTCCAGAAGAGCTTTTCAGCAATTTTGCTCAACCCGTCGATGTTAAGTTTAATTCCATAAAAACGAAAATTCGTTAAAATGTGTATTTTATGAAAGAATTGGAGCAGATAATCACATTTTTCTTAATAGTGCTAGTTTTCTAGTTTCAAGATGGTCACCAATGATCTTTGTGTAGCTTGTCCAAATGTTCTTCGCACAATCGACTTCGGACCCGATGAAGCTGAATGTCTCGTAAGATCCGACAAGTAACTATCCATAAAACAAGATGCTTGGACAGGCGTCTAGCGTAAAGTAGGAGCGTTAAAACATTTAGCAGTTTTATGCAACATGCGTCATGTGGACTTGTGTTTTGCGGCATGTTGTTATTATGTAATGCGGCATGGTCAATTACATTTCTCAATAAATCACTTCAAGTTAATGACATCAGGCTGGTTAAACCCAATTTGGCTCTAACGGCACGACATTTCAAAGCACAAAAAAGACGCGCTTTTGTGCATAAAACCACAAGCAACACACACAAACACGATTCAAGAGCTTCAATATTTAATTTAGCCTGCACCTCGGTCTGCGCCTGTGGCGCGTGCGTAACCAGTTTCATTGCAACTCTGTTCATTTTTGCCCGTTGAAAGTTGATTTGGCCTCAGCTAGCCATAGTAGCAGCAGAGTCTTTTGTTTTAACGCGAACTCTCCGGCTCAATTATGAAGCATATTCTTTGGCCACTCTCACTTACAAATGATTGCCGTGGATTGGCGACGATTGAGATTTCGGCTACAACGGACAGAGGCTTCCTTACTTTGTTCAGCTTTTCAGTTGTCATCGTTGTTACTTTTTTTACTTATATATATCTGATCGTGTGTGTTTCTATGTGGCAAATGCAGTCATCCAACTCTTCTAAGCGCCTTCAGCTGATCCACGAATTCATAATTATTTGCATTATTGGCAACGTTATTCAGCGCATGAAAGTGAAAGTCTTTCGGTGCCAAAAGACGCGCTGAATGCATCTAGATTGTTGGTATGGCACCCAAATTGGTTTGGTTGTAAATTTTTATGCATTTATAATGTAATATTTTTAGTTAAATATGTGTTATCGAATTGCAGCTTCAGCGGGAAAGTTGGAATTCATGTGAAATTATTATTCAACGTAATAATAACTTACGCTGAATAAAAAATTTTGAGCTGAATCGAGCTCATATAAGGTAGAAACATAAAAGAAAAAATTGTCAAAAATCAACTGATACTTTCTGATTATTTAAATCATAAAAAATTCTTGAGTCTGCAGACAACGGGTGCAATTGGTAAAATCATACTTATGATGCCATATAATAATAATTTGATGGAAAATTTAGAGTGTGACACTATTTGCTTGAAAAATAAAGTTTTACCATATCTGTTTCTCGTGTGCACTGATTGTTTTAGTGAGGAAATGTGAGCGTATGTGACTTTGAAATATGAATTACTGGGTGTTTTTTCAGACATGTGATTTTCCAGAAGAAATAAAAAGTATATACATAATCTTATGCCCTATTATAAAGATAAGGGTTTGCCAATTATGTTTTAAAAACGATTCGAACGAATAGGTTGCGACCAGTTTTTTGCAGCAATTGTGGCCGTATGTCAGCAAAAATGCGCTGAATATTATTTTCCAATGCTAAGTTGCTTACTCAAGCTGAAGTAACTCGTTTTGAAAAAACCATATCCAACAATGACGGGCGCTTCAATACTTGTAGTATCAAAACTTCTTTAGTACTAAACCTTTCGAAGAGCCTTACGCTCTATTCTGCGGTCAGGAGCTCTTGCGCCATCCATTTCAATCAACAATACGATTTAACTGTTTTCTAGTCAACAGTAAATTCTAGTGTTGGAGCTTGGTTCTGGATGTAAAGGATATATGAAAGTCATCGACATTGGATAAATTCGATGTTAGGATTGGCCGATAATCATTGCTCATGTCGGAAAGCATGTCTTCTCTTCGGCTATTTTAGTAGTGTAGTTAAGTTACCATAACTTCAATTAATTTCATTGTACTAGACTTGAGTATCTTATGTTTGTTATCTGATGAAAAAAGTAATATATAAGGGTGGTTATTCAACTCGCCTTGTTGGTATGCATCGATCATTATACCTTGAACATTTCTACAATGTCTGTAACATCCAAAGGGAAGTGTCGGATACCCTATAAAGTATATACAGATAAAAATGATCAGCCTGACGAGCTGAGGCCATTGAGCGATGTCTGTCTGTCTGTTTGTGTATGTACGAACGAGCTTTGAAATTTTGCACACGTCTTTTTTCCTCAAAAAGCTGCTCATTTGTCGGAACCGCCGATATCGGCCCACTAAAACATATAGCAGCCATACGAACTGACCGATCAAAATCAAGTTCTTGCAAGGAATCTTTTGTATTTGTGAAAGGTATTACAGCAATATAATTTCGGTGCAATTGAAGTTAACGTTTTTCCTTGTTTTATACTATATTATATGAGTATTTTACAATCTTACAAAACTGTTTGTACACTCTGCAACCAAGTAAATATACTTTTTTTTAGTTAAAGCAATAACTAAAAAATCGATTTGAATTTAAGATACAAACTCACAGCAAAATAAGAAAAAAAAACTAAGGAAGTTGTTTTAATAAATCTATTCATTAGTCAAATAAAGTGTCCAGCTGTCAAAACCATATTTCCAAATGATAATGATTTTGTCAGTTAATTATTTGCAGAAAGAATAACAAAAATTAGTAAAATAAGAAATCTCTTTGATATTTTGCCAAAACTTAAGGATCTATGTGTGTGTTTATATTTACTTATGTATATGTATATCTGCCATACATCTGTTGGCTAAGCGCTATCATTAAGAATGATTTATAACGGCAATTGTAAGTGGCAATTGTCGACGAGATATGCCGTTGGCAATGGACATAACTGTTTGCAATGGAACATTAATTTTATGTGCTTCATATTTTTTTAAAATTTTGTAGAAAATGAAAAGAAATTTGGAAAAAAGCATGAACAAATTTGAGCGATGGAAAAAGCAAAAATAATGAAAATAGATAATATAAGTGAAAGAGGAATAAATTAAATACATATTAGTTGAAAAAAATGAATTAAATACAAATTAAACTTAAAAACATAAAATAAATTTTTAAAGTAAGAAAATTAAAAAAAATTTGGTAAAAAAATTAACATATAAATTAATAATTATCAAAAACTGATTTTAAGAATAATAATACTTTAGAAATTTTAATAATTTTTTTAACTCTAAAAAAATATAATTTATTTTTTATCAATAATGATTTAATAATATTACTTAATAAAATAAATAATAATTAATTAATATCAACTTTTTATCAATATAAAAATTACATCCTATAAAGTTAAAAGAGTAGAAAAAGGAAATCGGATACATATAAACCCTAAACTATCAACGACGCCAAAAAACCAAAGATATTTAATAAGCCACACTAATTTGCAATTGAAAATTTCACTACAAATGAGTGAGAAAGATGCAGCTAACAACTTCCGTCCACAGAAAAATGCACAAAAAACTAAAATGAAATACAACAACAAAGCTAACAAATGCAAATGATAACAAAACCCAAAAAAAAAAATATTATTGAAGGAAACTGCAGAAAGTAAAAACAAGTAAAATAGCATAAATATGCATACATACATACACATTTGCATAAAAATTATGTATGTATGAGTTACTGCACAAATGAGTCGCGATGCATGCAACACCACGGTGCACTGAAAAGTGCGGAAAGTCAAGTCAACTAAGCGGTAAAGTGAATTGAAGTGCTGATGGAAGTTAATAAGGCGTTGAGAGATAAAAATCTATGTTTGTTTTTATTGTTGTTGTTGCTATGTTTTATTTGCATGCGCAAATTGTCGACAAAGTGTGGTGGCTGGGTGTGAAAATGTTACAAAAACAATGTAAAGAGCAAGAAATGAGCCGAAATTATTCAGAGACTTTATAACTTCCATGAGGTGGCAGCACTCTTTAGGTATGTTAGTGCCATTAATTAGTACGCAAATGTGGACCGCAGCAAAAATTTTAAATCAAATGAAAACAAAAGTGGTGTAAGAAATTGGAAGTGCTTCTCCAGCAAGAAACGGAGAAAGTAGAAAAAATCGTAAAATATATGCGTTAAAATCTTTTATTTGACAAATTAAGAGACCATGGAGAAGTAAATTACTACAATTTTATTACTCATAAAAAAAAACCAAATTTTTTAATTTTAAAATTTATTAAAAAAAGAAGGCTATTTGTTACCGAGTATTCATAAGAAAATTAGAAAATTAACGACAGTGTTGGATATAATAGCCATTCCTTTGTGCAAAAGTTCTGAGCTCAAAAACTGAGGGGCAAGTTTGCGTATATACGGACAGATGGACATGGCTAAATCAACTCAGCTCGTAACAATGATTATTTATATATAATATATATTTTATAAGGTCTCCGACGTTTCTTTCTGGGTGTAAGAAGTTTTTTGCCAAACTCTATATACCCTATGCATCGTATAGGTACAGCTTTGAAAAAGTTTTTTTGTATACAAAGGCTTTGAACTAAATTTTTTTTGTACCACCAACTTAATTGAAATCGAAGAAGAAAATTTTTTCAGCAGCTCTTTTCTAGTATTCATGAAAAAATCATGTACTTGCTACTTAAATTAAAGATTTCTGAATAAATGCGAGCGTTCTTCGGAGAAAATCTGTCATACCAAAATCAATTTAATGACCGTTAATGGTTAGAACTAAATTCAAAAAAGTAAAAAGACCCTAAAATTTGGTTAGACCGGAAATTGGGTTGGACCGAGGCTCCCGTCTCAATTCTTCTGTTCGAAAATAAACAGAAAATGTAAACTCTTTTATCAGTTTGAGGGAATCACAAGTTTTGAACAGAAAATTTATTTCTAACGCATTTTTCTTCGACAACGGGTTTGAAAACTTCTCAATTGAGAATAAATGCCCATGGAGTACAAAAGTGTTCAAAACTTGTGCTAAAATCTTATCGAGAACAATAATTTTAAATATTATTATTGTTTACTATTCATGGCGCCCTTCTTTACATCGATGGTAATACCGTTATGTTTCGAAATGAGTTTTGTTAAGAAGAAGATATCCGCTTGCTATGACATTACCTCAGTTCTCGTTCATTTGCTGGATAATCTACCAGTGATTTTATACGCGCTCAAATCAAAGTCTTAAGATCGCAATGATATGCGGGGCAAAGTGATGTTGAAGTCAAAGAAAAATACAAAAACAGTCTTATGCTCAGTATGAGTGACTCGATTATAGTAGATGATTAATCGATATATATGTACCATAGTTGGAGTCGTTAATTTAATATACGCTCGCTTTGCTCACTGGTTTACTATATATAATAAAAGTCCTTTTCTACCAATATTCCCACACATTTTTTTGTAAGCAACGAAATACGATAAAAAACAATATAAATAACTAATTTCCACAGTGTAAAATTTGCATTTTGACTTACCACAGCGAGGGTGAAGCTAGCAGCAGCAAGTGCCACCAACCTGCGAGTCGGCAACATTTTCATATACGTTTTGTGGCTAAATCGACAGTTGCAGGTTATGCTGCAAGCGAGTTGCTGCAGGCTGCAAGCAGTTGCGGGCGGCGTGAACGTCGCTAACGGTATTGCAGTGCCCGTTAAAGTTAAGTGGAAGTGGTTATGACTTGCGCTTTTTCGATAAATTGCTTTTGTTGTTATTGTTGATAATTTTACTTATTTCTTTGCTTGTTGTGTGTTTTGTCAAGCAAATATTTGTAGCTGCGTTATTGTTGTTCTTGTCGTTCGAAGCTTGAGGTATGCACACTTAACGCACTCTGCCCGAGCCAAGTTCAAAGTCACTGCACGCAGCTGTTGGGCAAAGACCACAACAACAACAAACAATAAAATAACAAAGGCATACCAACGATGGTCGCGAATATTTAACGGGTTTCAGCAAGCGTTTCGTTACTCTTATTGGACTAACTGTAATTGTAGTTTTGTATGCAAAATATTTGCGTTTCACACTGACTTGAAGGTGTTGGAGGGGAATTTGGAAATTAAGAAATGTGCGTATAGAAAAAAAAGGAGATATTTATTCACATAAAAAATATTTATGAAAGGCGAATATTTTGTAATTATTATTTTTATAATTTTTGTTATAATTAATTTTATTTATATATTGTCTCTGCACAACAAGGTTGCTATCCAACAACAAATTTTGAAATTATTCAAATTATAGTATGAATAATATTATATAACATTTAATTTTTGTGGTTATAAAAGATTTTAAATTTTTTAGATATGTTGAGTCAAAATAAAATAATTTTTTATTAGAGTAATAATGTTTTATTGCATTGTTTTTGCTTTTTGACGTTCTTTTGAATTTTGATATATTTGTTAAAAGAAATAAAATAATCAAACATAAAAATATTACTATTTCACAGAGTTTTTTAAAATAAATTTTATTTTAATATTCGAAAAAATTATTTTAATAAATTTAATATTTTAATTATGATTATTCCTTTAATGTACGTATATATTTATTTAAATTCCTTTTTGTATTATAACTAAACTAATTTCTATTTCTCAAGTGCAAAATCCCTGTATTATATTAATGGTTTCATAAGTATTTAGCATAGTATTTTTTTCTAAATTTATATACAATTTATATAACTCTTAAATTATAAAATATAAAACTTTTACGGTAATAATTTACGGGTTTATTCATGTTTTTACTGCTCTAAGGTCCCACAGGATTTTTTATTATTAGTTAAGACTATTTGAATTTCCAATATAAAAATACAATAAAAACAAAAAAGTTCTCATTATAATTGTGGGCTTAAAAAATAAAAAAAATAAAAATTTATTTATTTATATTTGATTGATATTAACTTATTATATTTAAATATAAAAAAATATTATTTAAAGTAAAATCCAACATTTAAAAATTAAGTGAACACTTTAAATAAAATTTTTTTTTTGAGGCAACTTGTTTGCTATTATCCCTCCGCGAAGTTGAAATAATTTTATAAAAAATTATTTAAATAAAGATATAAAAAAAATTTGAATTTTTTTTATTATATTAAATGCCATTATATCAATAATATTATCTATTGATTTTTAATTTCAACATAAAATTATTTGATATCGATTAATTTTTAAGTTTTAGCTTGAATTAACTTTAATTCCTTTTCGCACTGCTTTTACTCACAACACTTTTTGCAAAACTATTCAAGCTTTATTTGAAATTCACTTTCAGTCACAATATTTTTTTCTCAAACAAATTTTGTAGCTGTTGCAGCTTTTCCCGTTGCTGATCTGCACGCTTGCGCACCACTAATTCAACTGTGCAACAGTTTTTAGCGTCACTTGTGTTTTGTTGCATGCAACGCAGTAGTGAAAAATTTTCATAACACATTTACCTCGCGAGGTACATTGCGAAAAAATGCAACAAAAGCAAGTGGAGTGAATGAAAAGTCTTGGTCATAAGCACGTGAACTGGTCGATAATTCGGGTTCCAGGCGACATTTTGTTTGTGCTTTTCCTCAACTAGATACTCTCTTTTCATTTCAGCTAAGGCTGCCACTCACCTCGGGCACCGCATTGACACACGCCCACTGTGGGTATATTGCGGGTCTCCTTCAAGCAATCATACACTCACTACCGACAGCAGTCATGCAGTCAAGCGGTCATTCAATCATTTACTCAGTCTGCCAGTTACGTTTGATCCCATCTATTGGCTATACAACTGTTTTTGGCCTCATCTATTCGTTCACTCTCACTTTCGCAGCGCCTTTGCTGCTTGCAGACAGGATTACTAGCGTCGTGCCTGATTTGGGTGAGTCGTCTAACCAGCTGCACACATCAAAGAAATAACTGTAAACGCTCTCGGATACACTTTTTGCTCTTTCGTAATCAGTTTGTATATAACTGTACATATATATGCTTTCCAGTCGCTTTTGTTCATGGCCAAAAGTGTAAAGTGGTGGCTTTGTTATTCAATAACGCGATTTGTAATTGTTTTTCATTATTATTTATTTATTTATTTTTTTTTTCGATTTCCATCCACCGAATTTGTCAGCATCATCACTTTGTTTGACTTAAATACTCTCCGAAATATTCAAAATTAAATTAAATACTCTAATATAATCTGCTAATTAAGCGGTAAATTTTTCTTCGTGGTTTTTGCTTTTGGATTTCCTGTTGTTGATATGTAATACCACTTGAGTTCCCGTTAACCAATATGATCTCTTGTGTGCCATTCAATTGACTGATTTTATTATTAATTACTATCAAGCGTAATTATTTAGTTGCTTACACTTTTTACAAACGAGAGTCAGTTGTATGTTAAGTATTGCCGGTGCGTGTATTTGGCTATGATCTTAATTCATTTTTCACTTCTGGTTCCATTTTTAAAAACACAAAATGCAGGAAGTGAAATGAAAGCGAATTGAATAATATAAATAAAAGCATCTGGTGATCGCAATATGATATTTAAATGTTTGTTCTAAGGAATAAAATTCAATAAACGATGCTTTATATACTTTATTAAATTTTTTCGTTACCATGAGAACTTTTCCCATCATATAACTCCGTATATTAATATATAATAAAATTATTATTCACATTTATTACAAACTGTTCCCAGAGAGCCTAAACTCATCTTATGAATAGACTTTTATTAATTCAATACGTCCTTTTATAGTCCTATGGGTAAATTAATTTTTTACTTTCATTAAAAACTGTTCCCATGTTATCTCAACTTCTCATATTAGCATGTTTTTAATAATTATTATTTTTATTAATTATTGCGCCTTTTATAAAATTCTACGTAAATTTTTTTTTAATTTTATTACAAACTGTTCCGATATCTTTTAAACTGTTCAAAAAATTCATGTTTTTGTAAACTATATTTACGTGGACTTATCTTAAAGCTTAAGAAGCTTAAGCTTAATGGTTTGGATTTTTGGTTCTGCGTTTGGTTTATAGGTGTTGAACTGTTCCCACTAAAAATATTTCTATTGTATCTACCACCTGTGACAAAATTGATATAGTTAATACGAAAAAGATTTTGAAATTATTTATGTAATTTCCTTAATGACACGACCAAATATACAAGGTGCGTTTCAAAGTAAACAGGACTTTAAAAAAAAGGACAGAACAAATGGTTTTATCGGCAAAATCAATTAATTTTATTCAAAATAGTCTCCTTCTGCTTTAATACAGCTTTTTGCACGGTCCAAAAGCATGTCGAACGAGTGTTTTTGCTCGTTGCCCGGTATGGCCGCCAGTTGCCGGTGCAATCCTTTTGAATGGCCACCACGTTTACATAACGCTTTCCTTTCATCGGCAAATGCATTTTTCCAAAAAGGTTGAAGTCGCACGGTGCCATATCAGGTATATACGGGGAGTGGTTGATTGTTAAAATGTGATTTTAGGTCAAATAATCGGCCACAAGCGTCATCGATGAGACGGCGCATTATCGTGCAACAAACGCCAACTTCCATCTTCGCGATATTCGGGCCGAACACGTCGAATACGGCACACCAAACGCTTCAAAACTCCAAGGTAGAATACCGCATTAACGTTTTGGCCGGGCAGAAAAAAATTCTTTGTGGACAATACCCTTGGAATCATAAAAACAAATCAGCATTGTTTTCACTTTTGACTTCTCCAGGCGCGATTTTTTGGGTTTCGGCTCATTTCTCATTTATGTCCTCACGACCACTTTGAAAACGTTGAAACCACTCGTGCACTCTGCTACGGGATAGGCAATCATCGCTATAAACTTTTTTCATCAATTGAAACGTTTCGGTAAAAGTTTAACCAATTTTAAAACAAAATTTAATGTTGGCTCTTTGTTCGAATCTCATTTTCGCACCGATGACAAAAACATACTGACACTTAAAACGCAATAACTTCTCTTCCAATTGATGAAATGTTATGAAATTTTTACTTGAAGTCGATAAATTATAGCAGATTCGAACGCACTAGTCGACATATAGATGGAGCCACTAGAGTTTACTTTGTTATTTTTTTATTGTTTACTTTGGAACACACCTTATAACTCGTTTGGCATCTGTCCGTAAACATGTGTGAAGGAACATGCCACTAATGCCACTTTATATAATTTTTTACAGACTGATCCCTTCCCTTGTATGTAAACATGTACTGTAAAGAAACCACTTGAAGTTTCAGCTACCCAAGTGAGTAGGAAAATATACTATATCCTTGCTTTATTCTATAAACCATATCAAATTTCCCAGATTCGGAGTCCCAAAGCTTTGGAGGTATGGAAACACGGTTGGAACTAAAGGATAATTAATTAATTCTAAACTAAAAAATCGCTCACTATTTTATAAATACTTATATCTTCATTCGTTAACATTATGACAGAACGCAGTATCTCGCAAACTTTTTGATAGTAGCAATAAAAATGCTTCTTTTTTTATTGGAAACTCAGATGACCGAAGGCCACATCAGAGATGTCTATAACCCAAGATAATAAAAAGTATGTGCATATATGTCTACAATAAAAGCATATACTAACAAAAAACCTGTTTACAAAATATACAATACATGTACCTAATTCCTCCAAGGCAAGCAATGAAGTGCAGTGGGTCACACTTGGCCAAATGATGCCGTGTGTCACAGGCAATTAGAACTTTTCCACCAAAGCCAAAGCTGAAAAATGTAACGAAGCGAATCGAAGCGAAATGTAACGAAATGTCAAATTGACAGCAATTACACAATTTCAATTGTACAACTACAACTACAACAAAAACAAACACACATGTGAGCATTGCTCCGAAAATAAAGCAGTGCAAATCATTTGCTGAGCGAGGAGAAAGAAGTGAAAAGAGAGATAAGTAAAATGGAATTGCGCTGAGCAGCGCAGGAGAAGAGGGGCAAGGGTGCAGAGGTGTGGAAGCTGGGAAGTGGGGCTGTGATGGCTGTGTGTCAGAACAATTAATGGGCATACTTAAGTGAATGGGACAAAATTACCACACACATATGTATGTGTAAACACACATACACCTCGACAAATTAGGAATAAACATGTGTGATGGGACCTATGCTGGGCCTCCAAGTGACCTCTGCTGCCACATGCTTCCGACACTCAGTTGTAGTGGAGGCGGAAATGCCGAAAATCAAGTGAAATTGATATTATTCCGAACATCGGATGGTTAATGCGACGTGCGGGAGAACCTAACGGCCAAATGAGGCGAGTTGTCAGTTGAAATTACTGTTCGTATAACTCTTGCTGCTTACACTCACACACCCACCAGGGGCTATGTGTATGTTCGTTGTGCTGAAAAATTGCGACAATTAAAGTGGCAAATTGTCTATCAATTCTTCTACTGCACCCACTACTGCTTGAACAATAATTTGACGTGCTCTGTGATCGGTAGTACATGGAGGAGAAGAAAAGGTTAAAGAAGTAGAAAGAAAGAGTAATTGAAAAGTTGCTTGGCATTCTAGTTTCGTTGACTGCCATTATTGAATATTGCCTGGAGTTGTTGCTCTTCCTTTGTGGTATTTGTTTTTGTTATGTTAGTGTCTTTACCGTTATTTATACAGAGTTACGAATGCCTGTTGCTAGCTTGCTTTGATTATTTAAAGAATGATTATATAGCTGATAAGAGGAATAACGGTTCAACAAACTTCTATAATCAAAATAAAAATAAGAAAAAACGTTAACTTAAGTTCCCTCAAAGCTATGCCCTTCATAGGTGCATTTCTTATAGCATAAAGGGTATAAAAAGATCTGCAACTTGATTTTGACCGATCTGTTTGTATGGCAGCTATTTGCTATAGTAGATCGATCTGAACAATTAGTTCGGAGACTTGATCGTTGCCTTTTACAACAATCCAAATTTTGTGCAGATATCTCGTCGAATAAAACAGTTTTTCATACAAGCACTTGATTACGAACGTTCAGTTTGTATTATAACTCAAAAACTAGTTCGAGTATTAATGTATGCAGACGGTCAAACGGACATGACTAAATCAACTCAGCTCTCATGCTCACCATTTATATATACGTATATTTTATAGGGTCTCTGACGATTCTTTATTGGGTGTAACAAAACTTAATATACCCAGTTCAGCGTATAACAAAGGTAGCATTAAGTTTGAGCCATATAATTTATTAATTTTTTATTTACAACACCTCTAATGGTTGTACTTGTTTCGATGGATGGCAACTCTATTCAAAATATGTTGATTTAAAGTTTCGCTGAATAGATTTTGAATAATTTTCTTAATTGTTTCCGTTTCACACACATCTTGTCATGTTTTTTGTAATTTTAACATTTTTTATAGACAGCAACCTTA